CTTTCTTTATAAACACAGGTAATAGTATAAAACCATAAAGAATGGTAAACAGAAATAAAATTAGTATATAATATCTAAATGTGCTGTTACTTTGGGAAAGGTATCATGCATAAAATGAATAATGCTTATAATAAAACTCATACTGTTTCCACCTTTAACATGTAGAAATTGCTACTCAACTGGCCAAATCAAGAGAGAGGTGGTTGCAGCCTAAAAGAAGAGATAGATATATAACCTTCAAAGATAGTCTTCATGGCTTTCAAAAATATTGCAGCTACATATTTTATCAGGAGAATTCTGTAGTGGAAATATATTTTCCTTAGAAAATATATACTAATAAAAATCTAAACATTTTTCTTCATTAAACAAGTTTAGTATTCCTGAACCTCAGAGTAAGGGTAAACACGTCAGATTACTGGTTTCATTATATTCATGCTAATTGCACACAACTGTCTTTATAAACAAGATGGAACAACTTTGAAATACTTGAAGAAACACTAGTGTGTCCCTTCCCCTCGCCATCACTAGTCACATACAAAGCACATTGCAACACAACCAACAAATCCTTTTCGCATGACTTTGGTGAGTCGTCTCAAGTCAGAGAACTCAGTATAAATCAAATGACTGAAAAATGCCCAAAGAGGAAAAGAGATATTGAACTCACTGAAATGCAATTATTCCCTATGGATGACTAGGGAATAACAAGTCACTGTCAAAAGCAGCAGGATCTCAATCAGATCACCATAATAAGAAGGAAGAAGAATGCTACACACCCACCCTCCATCAAGCCAGGAATACAAGCTAAAACTGGGAAAAACCCCAAAACACTCCCCCACCATTCCATAGGTTGTCAGCTTTGCCACTGAAGTAAGACTGGAGAATTTAGGTCACAATGGCACAACAATGGGTTGTTGTACACGTAGATTAAAAACATTTTCTGCAAACTGAGGAGTCTGAGAAAATATCCAGTAATTTTATCTGAACTGTCAGAGGCCACTCTATCGGGTTCTTGTTACCCGCAATAGTATGAGGTATTAAAGTGTTCAATTTACCATCAGAATAAATGCAAGAAAAGCAGTTTTGTTAGACCAGTGGTTATAGCTGATCCTTTACCTACACTTTTGCACTTTTTCCCACCCCATGTGCCTGAGAAAAATGTGTTCACACATCAATTAGTTTACTACTACTGACACATGGTTGTGTAACAAGAGAAACTCAAGAGTGCACCCTAAACCAACCACTATATTCATTTTAGCAGACACCTCTATACATTCCCTGCATTTTATTTTTCTAGCTTGTTTTTCATACATACTATGTCACTTTTCCTTATGCATCAGAGTAGACCAGAGTTTGACAGACTGTTCACTGAAAAATGTTTGTCCACGTTAACTGGATGTTTCTATTCTTGACTGACAGAGAATTATTTACAGTGTCATTAAGTTTCATACATGTAGTTCCATTTTCAATGTACTGAAAAAATGTAACACGAAGAAGTTTGTATGTAGGATGTGTAGATTTTAGGATTCTACTGGGGTTTTATGGTGATTTTCAAGCTGTGTTTGGAGATTTTGTATTTATTGCTATGCAGTGTCTGCCTTCACCTGGCACACACTGATGCTAGTCTGTTGTAAAGCTGCTTCCAATGGGGGAGTTAGAAAAGGTGGCTGAGAAAATGTCTTAAAAAAACCCTCCTTCAGTACACCTTCTAACTCTCTAAAGATTTCTGTAGACTTCAGGCTAGTAAAACATGTGACAGCAATCAAATAAAGTAGAGGCATATTTCTACTTTGCCATTCTTATGTGACACTTGATCAAGTTGAAAAAAATCTATATACAACTGTTTCGCCACAGGAATAGTCCTACTGAGTTCAGTCACTAACTTGTAGGTTTTAAGAGAGAGATTGTGACCATCAGAACACACTCCACATTCAGAAGTTTTTTGTGTGTTTTGAACAGTTTCTGGTTTTGTGCATATGCATGTTTTAACTTGTGTCTTTTGTACTACATTTTGTAAGAACTGTGACAGATGGAACTCATAGATTTTTAAAATTCAATCTGTATTTGTTGAAAAAGTGACTGTGGTGACAGGATTACAATACCCAGTACTTTCAGGGGTATGCATGACGGTACAGCCAGAGATCCAAACTGAAATAAGGGAAGCATTTTTAACAGCCAAGGGCACTAATGAGTGAAATAAACCATAAAGAGAAATGGTAGTTTTATCTTTACTTCTTCAAACGAGGACAGGATGCCTTTCTGCAAAGTATATATAAGCCTACTTAGCTTGACAAAAATGTAAAGAAAACCTGGTAAAATTTAATTGCAAATATATGAAGAGGTCAGTATAAACGATCTGAAGATATTACAGAGAGAGAGTATTATAAATAAAAATGTAAAATACTGCTAGCATTAATGGTTTAACTAAAAATTACTGAAGTGTTATTTGCATGTGAAATTCAAACAATGTAAATATTTATTCTGGATCCCCCTGCATGTCCCAGTCTCTAACTAAAAGTACCTGTACACTTCCTTCACTTGGCAAGCATAAACGGTTCAGTGAATGTCCTTCCTTCGGGTTTTAAGAAAATCGGCAACCAAACAGAGAAGAAATAATTTATCTACTTATCTGTAAGGGTAAGCTACAATATATACTAACCCTTCACAGAACACAAAGAGGTGCAAGATCAACTTTGATACTGTAGGAAAATGAATCTCATTAGATCCACTGCTCATGGAGCTGTGTGTTTTGGTCACACTTACAATTTTAGCTGATCCATTTTCAAATGGAAACTCAACTACACTGATTTTCCCCTGAAATTGTGGGATCTCTATGTCTTCTTCATTGGGGCTTTTAATTTTTGCTATTATCTTGCCGACTAGATCAAGTCCAGTGCAGTTGTTGTATTCATCCTGTAAGTAAAAAAACACAACCAATAAAGTTAATTTGGTACATGAACTGAAATAAGTAATCCATTTATATACTGTTCTAAATTTATGTGGCAAGGTGCTAGCAGTGGAGGGCGTGGAGAGGCTGAGACAGCAGAGGCTGGGGCTGCCCCATGCTGGACACTGCCAGTGCTCCAACTGACCCACTGCAGGGCACAGCTCAGTCCCTCAGCCAAAACAGTGTTTCCTCTGGGAAAATATATTTAAGAATGGGAAAAAACCACAAAGGTAGGGGAGAAGGGGAAAAAACCCCAAACAAACCAGCAGCAGGTGAGAGAAGGAGCAGGCAGAGGAGGTGCTCCAGGCACCAGAGCAGAAATTCCCCTGCATGCCACAACTGACCATGGTGGAACAGATACCCACATGGCAGCCCATGGAGGACCCCATGCTACACCAGGTGGATATTTCCTGAAGGACTGCACCCTGTGGCGAAGGTTCACACCGGAGCAGTCCATGAAGGACTGCAGCCCATGAAAGGACCCACACTAGAACAGGGAAACTGTGAGGAAGAAGCATCGGCAGAGAGAAGGTGTTAGGGATTGACTGCGACCCCTGTTCCCTAGCTCCCTGTGCCACCTGGGGAAGGGTAGAGCAGTCTGGAGCAAAGCTGAACCTAGGAAAGGGTTTGTTGAAGGTGTTGCTTTACTTCTTTTAGTTTTTGTTTCTCACTACTCAAATCTTTTTAGATTGGTGCTAAGTTCAATTAATTTCCTACAAGCTGAGTCTGCTTTGCTCATGGTGGTAACTGGTAAGTGGTTTCCCTGTAACCCTGTGAACACTTAAAGTTCAGGAAACTTTATTTTTGTAATACAAGATTCCTAAGAGTAACTATCTCTGGAAGAAAAATCATGGAGAGAAACATCTGCTGTATATATGTGTTTTCCCCATTGGAATCTACTCTTCCAACAATTTTTTCCTGTGGCAACAAGAAATGGATTTCAACGGAGCTGCTCGACAGCAAGGACTGAACATGTCAGTTTTGGTCATCTGTACATAAATGAAACAAGATGCACTTGTCATATTTTGAAAAATCACTGATTTATATCCTTTTTTTTAATGAAGTTAACCAAGTTAACCTGCAAAGAAGCAACAGTAATGTCATACAGCAAAATTCAACATATTTTTTAGCAGTCATATATTTCCCTAATTGCGATTTCCCATGAAGGTATAGTTACCTTTATATGGAGGTATAAATCCTTGACCAGTGTACGGCTAGTAAGAGCTCGAACATTGGAAACTGCTGGAGTAGCTGGTAAAGAATCAGGTAATAAGCGTACAGGGGCGTTAGGTATAACTTCAACCATAATCTAGCAAAAAAAAGGAGGAAAAAAAATAATAAAGACTGATATAATTAACTGCAATTCACCTGCACACTTGGGCTGGTCAAAAAATACTGAAACAAATGTATGTGAAATTTACTGATGATCCTAAAATAAATTAGCATAACAATAAATCCTATCTACTAGGTTGCAAACTCTGTTGTTCCACCAAATTTCTGGTTATAAAATTTAATGAAAACGTATTTTGATAATCAACAGGTTGCAATCAGTAACTACCAAAAATAAAATACCATTTATTTCAAAATTTGCAAGTGGAAATATTTGCATTTTGAATCTACAAAGTATCTTAACACTTCTCCCAGATGATTCCCTATTACATGTTCTTGGCTACATGCAATTAATTATAGAGTCAAACCTGGTCACTGTTGAGCGTATTTGTCTTATCCGCTGCAAAGGTAAACTGGATACAGTAAGTGCCCACTCTCTCTGGAATCATTTTATCCCTGAATAAACCAAAAAGTAAAAACCAAGCAAACACAAGTCAGTATCAAAGGAGCAAGTATGTAAGTATGCAAGCAATTCAAATTTTGAGTAGTCTTCCAAACTAGTCAGAAAGTCCTCTTAAGGCGTAATACTCCTTTGGCAAGAAAGCCATCAAAGATTCTTGAGAATTAGAATAAAGCTTCTGGAAGCCTGAATGAGGAAAGTCTCCACAAGTTTGTCTCCACTACCAGACAGGAAGTTTGTCATGGCCCTATGGTTCAGAAATCTGCAAGCCTTTCCCATTCAATGAATTTTCATAAAGCTACTAGAACAAAGGATAGATATGACCAACAAAGTCTCTCTTGGAAATTACACAAAAAGCTATGCTTGTATAGCTTTTTGAATTAGTCATAATCTCTTAATAGCCTTCATACACATTACCTTGCTGTACACCATCTGAGAAGCTAAAAAGACTGAATCAACAGGGGTCATACCAACTGCCCTGACAGATGGGATAGCTCCTTGGCTGAGTATGACAGAAGGAATTACAGATGGAGGTACATTTGTATCACGTATCAGGCTGGGTCAGAACACTGGATTTGAGTGTCAGGTCCCCAGAAAAAAAAAGGGCTTAATGCTACATCAAGGTCTTTGAAGTACATAGATTCCTAAGGATTACAAACTGGATGCCTGGTTTCTGGAGCTCTATTTTGCACCTCAAAAGGGAAGAGAGCTGCAGCTGAGAGGCAGGTTAGGAAACTTCCTATCACCTCCTGAAGTGCTGCCACTTAAGAGGTGCCTGGAATCTTAACATAGTTGAGCTGCAGCAACCTCTGTTCCTCTGATACAGGAACCAGGACCAGCTGTACAACAGTGGTATGTGCTGCATTAAGGAGATCCTAAAGTCTCCTTTCTAAAAGCAGAAGGAAAGCACACTCCTAGGAGTCAAGAGCTTGAATAAACAGCCAGTACCATAACTAGCTGATTCCACAGATTGCCTGCCGGGAATAGAAGTAGAAACAATGTGGCAGTCAGGCACTAGCTTATGACGAGCTCTAGTTCTGCCCCTGGTCCCCTAAGACACTATCTCTGAGTAAGTAGTTTAGAGACTACTAAACCAACAGGGCCAAGGTCATGGTTCAGGATTAATGCTCAGCTACAGAAGGTATTAAATAAAGAGTTAAGACTGCTTTGTCCAGCCTGCAATTCTGCAGCAGTTGAACATAACATTGAAAATAATTAAGGAATGCTACTATACAAGTGACAAGCTGATGATGTAGTCCCCTCACTGCTCCCTTCTCACAATGTATTTTAATATGTCATCTTAGACTCTCTTCTTCTCTCAGATTAAACAAATGTCGAAAGTATCTATGGAAGAGTTCGATCCTCATCTCATTGCATCTTGCTAATACCTTTCACCTTTTTTTAGCACTGTATCATACTAATTCTGTAACAGATTCTTATTATCAAAACCTAAAACTCTTGTTTCTATTTCAAACTGTGTATTATGTATAATAAGTTGCCTCAGTAAATTGCATCATAAATGCTGCTGTACCTGAAGTAGAAGCCTTCTTCATTGTCATCCTTCACTTTACTACAGCTAAACGTAGTAACCTGTAAAGAAAGATGCAAAAAATGGAATGCAATATACTGAAAATACCTCACTTGTAATATGCTATCAAGTCTTAATGATTTGCAGTACTGACAGCGCACAGTAATTCAATTAGATTCCCTACAATTTAGACACTAGTTTCATATTCTTCATTCTTGGGAGTCTTTTCTTTGCAAAATTCATGATAGCAACTTCTAATATTCTCCTTGCTGTAAGTTAGCTTCTGCAGAGCAGGAACATTTTTGTCATTACTGTAGTCTTGGTGCTTAAACAGAACAGATACTGATAAACAAATACAATTCATCTGTAACATTATTTCAAGTCTAGAACAGGACATGGATCTAAGTCAAATGAAGGAAAGCTTCTACTACAAATACGTTTGTCCTATGCTGACATTTTGATACCCATTCTGAAAACATATTTTGATGACTTACATCAGCCGGTGTCCTAATTTGGCTGCTCTGTACTTCCCACATTTTCATGGAAATCCGTGTTGGATTAATATTTTTCATAATGGTGTCATCTTCAGAAAGAAGACTAACCATAAAATCTGTAGGATGAAAGACAACATTTTTTAAGATTATTTTTACTCCGAATTAAGAAGTTCAAACTTAATGAATTTCTCTGTCCCTCACACTTCAGAGAAAAAACTTACAAAATAACCTTTCCAAAAAGCGCCAAAACAGCAAAGAATTTCAAACCAGATATGGAAAATCTTCTCTCTTTACCCCTCTAATTAGACCAGTAAAAATCCTTAAGAAAGAAAAAACCACCTACTTTATCCAATGACTGTTTAACAAACCCCAAAAATTTCAAGTCTGCCTTTCTCAGATTATCATTGTAATCAAAAGAACAAGCAAGGCTGCTTCTTGCTCTCAGAGCAAGCTAGTTAAGTAGTTGACTCCTTCCTTCAAGGAAATCCAAACCTCCCTCTTCCTTCACAAGTGCTTTAGCCACTGAACTACTGGATAGAAAGGCACAGTAGCTGTAAGAAGACTGTACTGACACCACTATCATTTCCCAAGGGCTCAGGCTATGAATCTGAAGCTGAGTTTGGCTACTTCTTACAGACTAGAATCAAATACTTAATCTGTTAGAAACAGAATATAGAGACACTTTTTGCTCCTACGTTTTCTGTTGACTGGTTCTGCAGTCAAAATACTTGCCATTTTATATCTCAATCTGAAGAACTTATCTTTTCCTATATGTTCCATAGACAGTGCAGTGGTCTGAAGGAAATGGAATCCAAACTAGAATAAAGCTACTCTTCAAGCTGAAAATGTGAACAAAGCAGTTCAACGCTATGGTTACAGGTGGATTTTATGCATGTAAATGAAGTTGCACTACTCATGTAGAACTGAAATTTGCACTTGAAGGAAGGACTATGCTTTGATGTGAATGAAAAGTTCAGGCACGACTCCCTCCAGGGCTACAGTGCATGCCCTTATGTGTACCTGTGTTCACCAGTAAATCCAATATTTAGGATGTTAAAGCATTTTATTTATCATTTAATTAATATGAGGTAGTTAATAAAGAACTTAATATCTAATTTTATACAAAAATCTAATCTCATACATACAGTATTATCTCCTGAAGAAGCTGTTTAATGGCCTTTCTCTCTCAAAACCTGGATGATTTATATATACTACACACCCCATTTGAAAAAGGTCTGCTTGGCAGAGAGGTTGGAGCTAGATGATCTTTACAGATCCCTTCCAACCCAAGCTCTCTGTCATTCTGTGATGCTATAGGATGCTTCTTCTAGGCAAAACTAAAATACGTTGCGAATATAATCAAGTTCCTAACACTGTATGGAGTGTTATGAACTCATAAAGAACAAAAACCTCATCATAAAAATGCTGGTTAATCAAGTTATGACAGTCAAGAAACAAGCCCAAACACCACAGACCTCATATTTGTGGGAGGTATCCTGCTTCTCAACATCTAGTACTCTGAATATATCCTTTTCATTTTAAATTTTGAACAGATGCTGCACGTATTTCATATAGGGTTGGGATACAACAGATGAATTTGTATGAAGCAGATTTTCAACTTTTTTTGGTCACCTTTGGGTGACCTTTATTATCTGGGAATCCATAAGTATTTACAAAGGAATGGGTGGGAAAAATTCAGATGCTTGTGCTGAAATCCCACTGTGTAACAGCAACAAAACTGAAAACACTCCTGAGACAGACAATTTTTAAGTTCACCTAAAGGGGAAATCCTGAAGTACAGGAAGGACAGTGTCCCACAACAGCTTACTTGAAGAGCCTTTGGTTAAGAAACTTGGCAAAAGCTGTCTAAGAAACCAAGTACTCTATATCAGCAGGATCAGTCCCATTCATACAGTTGTCAACTCCTAATGCATTTGCAAGGCACCACTCTCCTGTACAAAAGTCACATAGTTCCCAACTTGTTCCCATTTCTACATTTAACTATGTAGCGACTTAATTGTTATACTCCTTCCAAAAATTGCCCAGCACTGAAAACACACCAACTGATCAAAGTTTCCCTGACCTCTCCTGAAACTTTTTGAAAACTGCATCAGATTTGCCACCTTAATTTATTCCTTTCAGATAAAGGCCAAAGTAAACAGAATTAGTACATCAGTTAATTACTTTAATTTGTAATTAAGTGAATACTATTCAGTATAGGAAATCTGTTAGTATTGACTTCATCAAATAGGTCTAAAAGTCAGCTACTGAAGATTCAAATGTGAATTTTGTATTTTACTCGTTTAAAATCAAGGACGGGATTCAAATGGGAGAAAAACTTAGTTTTGAAACTCCCTTACCTTCACAGGTACTACTGACCAAAAAAAGCAGACTTTCCAAGTTTTTTTGTTTTTTTGTTTTTTTTTATTTCAATCAATTACTACTGAAGTCTTTTTTTGCCTTCCTTAGTATGGCATTATATTTCAAGTGACAGAATCTTCTTGCTTTCTATTTAATTCATTTAGACAAGACTTCAGCTTTCTGAAGAGTATCTTAGTGTCATGTTTTCATAGTGCCAACCATGCTACTACAAATTCAACATGAAAATTTTCTGGAAGAAGGGCCAGTAGAGTTGTATACTTCACCAGCAAATTCAAGGACTGCATCTCCCATGGTTATTGTAAAGAAGAGTTTTATTTCCTGAACTAATGAAAGTAGTTAGTATAGGTCTCTTAGTCATGCCAAAGTTTCCTTATAGGAAAAAGCAGAAGTTTTAAATTCTCTTTTGCTTTTAGCAAAAGATGTTTCCTCTTGATCCTAACTTGCTCTTCTTTATCTGTCTTCCTTACTCTGAATACTACTAGAATATAAAACATGAGACAGGTCTTTTTCTTTAATGACTCAGCAGCCCTAGCTGGAAAGAAAGGATCATCCTTTTCTGAGAGAATGCAGGAGGAGAAAACAGTATTTTGTACTGTCCCAGCATACTTCTGATCACTTTTTGGTTCCTCTTGGCTCAGCTGGCTTACAGGTTTGTAGCTACCTCCTTTGTTACTATTCCACAGAAAAAGAGATGAGTAAAACATGCATGAACTAGCTCAGATCATCTTTTGGGAAGATCAAAAACTGAAATATGGTATTTCACTAAGGACAGAGAAGGAATGCTGTAGATTTACTATGTACAGACAGATAAACCCAATAATTTGAAACAAATAAGTAAGAGGTCTTTTGAAATGCTTTCCAAAGATGACCTACATATCTCATCTTTGCAAGAGTTACAGAGGCTGCTAAGATACAGCTGCTAAAAAGAACCAAGGAAAACAGACAAAAAAGAAGTGAAAAATTGCACCAGAAGAATAAAAAAAAAATTTTTACAGGTTTACAAAGCTCTTGTGTAACTGGTTTCCACCAAAGGATTCTTATACTTACCAGGGAAGGTACCTCCTGCTTGAAAAGGAATTTTGTCATATTTAACATTGAAGCAGACAGGTTTCTCAGGATTAGGCAGGACATTTAATGTAATCACAGGACAATACAATGTGGTCTTGTTGTATGAGGCTTTGATCTGTAAAGTGTGCTCTCCTCTGAAATATCAAAAACCGTAAAAGTGATATACAATATCTCTTCTGAAGAGGCAATTTTCAACAGGCTTCATGTCTGAATCATATACATGAAAGCATGATAAACAATAGAAGTGGTAAAGTAGTTGTAGTAGTAGTAAACAGAGTAGTAGTAGAGAGAAGTAGTAGAGTAGTAGTAAAGAGAAGAAAAAAATTAAAGCGTCAATGCAAATTTAGGCAAGTAAAATTGTGAGTTTAAAATATTCTTAAGGTATTTGCTTATTAAACTTAATTTTGCTTTAAAATTTTATTAGTTTGACCATGTTTCATTGCCTGTCTGTAAGACACTAGCAACTACAGCTTCAAGTAGCAGAAAACAGCAGAGCAGAAAGCAAGCACACCTAACTAAAATGCTAAGGAGCATTCTGCTTTGACAGTTTCCAGAGAGTGAATATGAGTACAATTCACATCTAGAAAACTGCCCTGCAAGTACGTCATGACTTCAGTGCTTAATTTTATTTTATTTTATTTTATTTTA